GAGCTTCTTTAATAATTTCATCAATTTTTTTATTTTTGCTTGTCCATGGAAGGAGTTCCTTAAACCAGGTAATGTTAGAAGAGTGACGCCATGCAAAGTTAGTCCTGAAGTTTCCGTAATGAAATCATTTTTTATGATCAATAATAAAAAGAAAAATTATAAAAATAAATTTAGTAATTAGAGAATATTGTGACATAATTTAATGCTAGAAATATATACCGCATCGGTTGGCTGAGTTGTTTTTCTAACTTTTTCTCGAACTCATGGTGACCAATAATTGGGATTTTGGAAAACACAGGACCCTATGAAATTTATTACATAAGCATAGAATGCAATTATTCTCGTTTCTCCATTGCTTGCATGTGTTTGCATTTTTCGGAAGATCTTATTGTATGATTGTGAATGTACACAAGATAAGCATTATATAGTGGTTGAGGCATATACTTGTAACCCGTATTGTGGGATATGGATTAGATAATGGGTATTAAGGTTAGCGAAAATCCCATATCCCATTAATATATGAAATGACATTTGTGATTGATAGAATACGGAATTTATTAAATATGGGCAACATTATAATATAATATCGACCTCACTTAATTCATTTGATTAAAGTAAATGGTTTGGATGATTTAGTGAATGAATGCGTGAACTAATGCTAACCTGAGTTTGTCCAGAGGAAAAAGATCGATGATTTGAATCAAGGAGAAATTTGATTGGAGAAAGAATTGTTTGCGATTGCATTTATATTTAAACAAGAATTTTAAGTGTATTTGAACACACAAAAGAATGAACAACAAGAGTTATCTACTTCATATTTATACTATTCTCAGGTATATTGGTTAGATGGAAAATACGGATAAAAACAGAATTATTTAAATGTAACATGAAGCACAACGTAGTGATATGCAGAAATCAAACCTTTTTGAGTAAATATTGTATTGTATGTAACATGAAATCCATGCACAGTCAACCCTCTCTATACCGATGTAAATTTTGATTGATGTATCGGTATATTGTAACCGATGTTTATAATAAAGTCACGAGAAAATCGGTATATAAAAAACTTGTAATCCAATTTTATTAAAAGTCACGTGCTGATAACGAACAACCCAACTACCAACTCAATATATAACTTTATTTTGAGTTTCGAATAACAAAATTATCCAAATTACCTTGTAATTTAGTTTTTAAATGATACCCGAAAATTGCCCGTTTAAGACTCTTTAATCCGGACATGCTTTTTTCTTCAATTTCAAGTCATCTGGGAGGTTTCGTAAAAACATAAGCACATGTTCCAGAGACTTCAATACTTTAATCGGTGAAATAACAGGAAGGTTTTTCTCATCGGAATTGTACTGGTCTTTAGTCTCTGGTAGCCGGATACTTGCAACTATATCATCATCAGTCAGCTCAACATTATCATCGATTAGAGTGTGATTGATACTAATATATTCATCTGCTGCCATTGGTTCATCAAATGGCAATCACAAAATTAATCATTGAATATCTTCATGTTTACATTCAGCATTCATCACTAAATGTGTTTTGGCAACATTGCAAGTATCGGATATGTCACGTAAAGAAGATAAAATTCCCATTTTTTTCCAACAATTTCTAATTGTTTCTTGTGTAACTATACTCTATGCACGACTAACAAAATTGATAGCATCCATAATTATCACAGATGGAATTGTATTAGAATTTAATTCGTGTACTAGATCATATGCTTCAACCCGATTTTTGACTAATAACTTGCGATATTGAGCCTAATAAAAGAAAATAATTTATTAATATACAAATATAAATTAATTTCATTAAAATTTACATTACCTTAAAAAAATTGATAATTCCTACATCACAAGGCTGTAAATGAGCCATTGTATTTGGTGATAAGAAATGAATCTTGATATTTGTAAGCACGTCAGGGTTTTCGATGGTATGGGTAGGTATATTATTAACTAATAAAAGGATTTTTCTTTTTTCATAATTTATGTGAGTATTCAACTTTTTGAGATAATTGTTCCAGATAGAAACTTGTATCCAAGCAGTCTGATTCCAATAATATTACACTGGTAATGTTGATTTTTCATGTCTATTTAGAGCTCAGGGATTTTGATATTTGTAAATGAATAATGACTTAAGTTTTTTCATTCCAGTAGTATTACAAGTTAACAAAATTGTAACTTGATTCTTGAATTGTTTTGTGTCAAATATTGTACTTGTAGAAAGAGTTTTTTTTGGCTCAAGTTGCCAATATAATCCTACATTATTAAATAATATAATTTTAATTTGAAAAATTTAAATTATTTAATAATAAATTGACATTATCTGTTTCATCACAATTGAAAACATCTTTCAATTTATAATTTTGAATTAATTGATATAATTTTTCATGTTCATCATCTAGTGTAGCTAGTGGTATACTGTTTGCTTCTCCTGACCAATTATATTCTTGAATATGATGTCTTTTCTTAAAGCCATCAAGCCAACCCTCTGATGCTTTGAAAGTCTTATTACTGATATCAAAAGTCTTGGCAAAGTCACATACTTTTTGTTGAAGTACTTCTTCTGTTATTACAATATTTTTAGGTAAAGCTTGCATAAACCAAATTGTAAGTACTACATCAATTTCAGGAAAATAGCATTTCTGAATTCATTTTTTCTTTGAAAGATAAGAATTTTCATCAATACTATGCCATTTTTTGCTTTCTTTGATGATATTGGATATGATATTGGCTTTATATTCATATTCAAGTGCAAGTTGATATTGAGTTAGGTGTGGAGTCTCTTGATATTTTAGACAGATTTCTTTTTTTTGAGAAATTATCAAGCACATATTCTTTTTTTGAGAAAATTCTGTTTCTTTTTCTTTTCATTTATTTATCAAGAAAAAATTATTAATCTCTTAAATTTCAAATTTATATAAAGCATTATAAAAATTACTATAATTTATTATATAATATTTCTTTATAAAAATTTCTGTATTACAAAATTTAACTAATAATTAATCTAAATTTTTTATATTATCTTATATAAGAAATTAATATTATTATACAAAAAATCTATATATATATATCAATAAATTATTGCTATAATAAAAATATTAGTTAATTAAGATTCTTTTTTATATTAATAGGATAATTACAAATATTGGTATCAGTTATATAAGATAGTTCTTAATAAACTTCAGTATATAAAGATTATTTTCTTAATTAAAAAAGAAAAACATCAGAAAATTTTTTGAAATGATTGTATCAATTTTTATTATTAGTTATATATTGATATATATCAGAGTTATTGATGCATATTGAAACAGATATTTGATATATATTAATATATATCAAAATTATTAATATATATTATTTAATGATATATATTATTAAATATTATTATTTAATAATATAGATTATTAAATATTATTATTTAATGATATAGATTATTAAATATTATTATTTAACAGTGTAAATTTGTTAAATATTATTATTTAATAATATAGATCATTAAATATTATTATTTAATAGTGTAAATTATTAAATATTATTGTTTAATAATATAAATTTATTAAATATCATTATTTAATAGTATAGATTATTAAATATTATTGTTTAATAATGTGAATTTGTTAAATCAATTTATTTTATTAAATATTATTATTTAATAATTTTTATTATTAAATTCAGAATTCTTTATTCTTAAAATAAAAATCTATTTAATAAATATATTATTTTAAATATAATTCTAATAATTCTCAACTAATTAATTAATAATTTTGTCTTCACTCTCTATAAATAAGTTATTTACTACATGAAAATTATATGCTTCTTGTTGGATAGTATTATCATTTATATTATTATCACCTTTATTATCTTTAAATTCTAATCTATTTTTTTTTCATTAAGTTTTTCATCTTCAATAATACTTATCAAGTTTTCATGTATTAGATTTATATTTTTTTGATATATTTTTTAAAAGAAAATTAATATTAGTTACAAAAGATTATATATAGTATAAAGTAAAAGTTTACTTTGTATTTATTTATGCAGTATTATAATAAAGTTTTGCTTATTTTAATTGATAAATGATTTGAATTTAGCACAATATCACATATACTCATGATATATAAATATAAGTTAATGAATAGCAGTTTTTCACAAAGGAATGAAAAGATAATATAAGCAATATAATTAATATTACTAATATCATTATTTTCAAGTTAAAATAACTTATTATAACATTCAGCCATTTCTAATGATACTTTTCATTCAGAAATTTTCTTGAAATTTTTTTGATTATTAATTGGAGATAAGCTATTCATTCCAAAGATACAAAAAATTATTTTCTTAACTATTATCATATTAAAACTATATATCTTTTTCATTCTTTTCATAATCTAATTGAGATATAAAAATTATCAATAAAATTATAATTATAATAATTATTTCTGAATATTATTATCCAAAAAAATATTAGTTTATTTATATTTTCTGATTTCTTACAAATAGTTAGAATAATTATAGTTGAATCAGGATTCAAGTTTCTTTTTATACATAGTAATTCTCTTTATAGTATAGTACAAAAATCCAACCAGTTTTTACACTATAAAGAAAGATCCACAAAAACAAAATCTCACTTTATAGTGTAGTAAATACTAAATCATGTGAAGTATACTATAAAGAATGTTTTTATAATATATCATATCAAATTAAAAATGAATAATTTGTAATTAAAATGTATTAAATATGATAAAACATAATTAAAGTTGATATTTATTATTTAGGAAAGTAATTAATAAGAGTGGATTGTTGTCTACTCTTGAAGTTTTTTCTAATAATCTAACAATTCAAGCTACTTAACATCTTCATAACTTCCAAGTTAATATCTACAGTATTCTCTTATTGCAAATACTTTATTACCTTTTCTAATCTCTCTAAAGTATCTGTTGTTATTATCAGTATACTCAATTCTTCATGATTTTCAGATTCTTGAGCCTTTTCACCAGTCACAAATTTGATAATTTCCTTATCTGTCATCTGTTTCTCACTTGCTACTTGATTATCAATTTGAATATACTTCATGGCTGATAGAGGATCAGAAACTTGAGATATTTAAAAAATAAGATTTGTGAGTTCACTCTCAGTTTCAGTATGACTCACGGTAAAATTTACGAATTCATAATTATTATCATTATTATTAATAGGAAGTATACCAGTATGTTACCAGCTATTACAAATTGTAATCTCAGTTACAGAATTCCAAGTAGCAGCAGAAAATTCAATTGCATTTCAAATAGTAAGAGAGTTAGGCATTAGATTCTCAGGTGTAAGAGTATCATAAGCTTTAATCTGATCTTGGTATAAAAGTCTTCAATAATTAGCCTAATATTGAAGCAACTAATTAATAATTGCAAATGAATAAAGATAACAAGTCATAAATACCTTTAAGTTATAAATGATCTCTTGGTCAATTGATTGTAAGTAAGATATCATATTTAGAGGAAGAAAATGAGTTTAAATATTTGAATAAGTATTCAAATTTTCTACATCATAGCTTTTTGCGTTATCTATTAAAAGAAGAATATGTTGATTTGCTTGGCACATTTTAGTATTTAGTCAATCAAGATAGTGACTAAAAATAGTTCTTTGCATTTATGTCTTATTATTCTAATAATATCAAACTGAAAGTATATTTTTGTTAATTCCCTGAAATGCAACTGGTATCTTGAATTTATGAATGAATAATAAAGGTCATTTTTCTTCTATTATGCTGCATATTATCATAATACTAACACAATCCTTTGGCATTTTCTTTCTAGTAACTGGTTTATGAGCGAGAGTTTTACATGATTCAAGCTTCTAAAAAAGAGTGGTTTCATCACAATTAAAAATATTTTCCAATGGATATCCATGGAAATATCTTGTAATTCAGTCTGAAATCATAAAATATCTTCAATTAGTACATTTCCTAATTCTCCTCATCACTTGTACATACTAAGATTATTTTATTTTTTGAATTTGGCAAGCCATCTATCTGAAGCAGTAAAGTTTTCAACTCTAAGTCTTTCAGTAAACTACTTAGCTTTCTCTTGAACTAAGATTTCTTAGATAGTAAGTTTCTGAGCAATAGCTTGATCAACTCAGATTAATATTACTTCTTTGATTTCTAAATAGTTGCTTTTCTGATCATGCTTGAATTTGACAGCTATTGATTCTGCTTTAAGACTTAACCAATATCGAGATCTTTTAAGAATTTTAGAGATAACTTGTTCACTGATCTCAAAGTCTTTTGTCAGTTCTCAGCTCTTGATTGAAAGAAAGTTCTATTTTTTTTTGCATAGTTGTTTTTTTCTACAAAATTAAAAACTTCAAGCTTTAATAACTTTTTTGTATTAATTATTATTCTTCACTTAATATAATAATTACTTCCTAAAATTTATCATTAATATATCATTAATATAATAATCCCCTTT